ATAAAAATCGAGTTTAACAGACACTCTTCAACAGTGCGTCTTACACCTGCGCGAATACAGACTCAGAACAGCAGTCAATAACAATGCATTTTCGGCGGATCCGCTTAGCGCGCACGAGATACCACCCACCATCATCATATTTCTCTGACAGTGACACGAGACACCGCATCCACAGCAAGTCTACAGACTCTCTCAGGCGCGGAGCGGCCTACCACTGTGCTCACTGTACCAACATGTGACCAAGCGGCGGGTGCACATCTCGCTATCAGCGGAACACTGAGATACAGAGTGCCAACTCACAGACCTTACAAGTAACCAGCACAATGTCTCTCAAGCCAGGGTGGGGCACACACTGACTGTATCGAGTACCTGATCCAGGCTAACTTTTGAGTCTCTCTCTCTACTACAACTGACGCGTACGAGGCCAAAAGCACAAGCGGGAGATAGCTACACCACGCGACCTTGCACACGCGCGCGACACCCATGCATGCGATCTTGCATCACTGATCCAAACAACTGACAACAAGCGCGAGACACATTACAAAGTGCAGACACACTCAGTACATACACACACATGTATATAACACATTGATAATCAAGACAGCCTCTACTGAGTCTCACCAAGACACTTCAACAGCTAGTGACGCGTAGCGCTTTACCTCTACTTATAATCGCACTTCAATACAGACGGTAAAGCCCCGACCATGTGTCTACAGGACTCTTCGCGCGCGTGAAGCAGCAAGGCAGGCACTCCGAAACGTCTAATGACATCGGATCGAGCCATGACTACACAGAGTCTAGTTTATACAACACTGAACACAGCCATACACCACTGTGGAAACAGTACATTTAGATTAAGGTAGGGAAGTTTTATTGCATTTATGGGAGTTACACAGTGACAAACGGTCAACACAAGTGACATAGAGTGAGATAGAGGAGCAATGGGCAAGAATGTTTGCAAGTATATGGGAATAGGTGTAAGTTATTAAATTGCTGTAAAGAGTTTTATGAGGATAGTGAGGAGCTATCCACAGCGACTTACGTTACTCGCGTTATAGCACTGCTAAGCGCGAGAAAACTCTATCACGCCAGCTCACTACACACAGATGCGGACGTTAAATCCCGCGTGACATAGACAGGCACCTATTCTCTCACTCTATAACTCACCATCAGCTGAGTTCTCCTTCTAACTATACAAGTTACTATTCTGAACATTCTGACGGTCCTTGCTACTACAACAAAGTCAACTAACAAGACTCGCAACTTGTGTGAGTCACGGTGTGACACGATAGAGGGACTAGGGAAAACACAACTCTTTCAGCGTGAGCGAGTGATGCACACACACACTTCCACAGCACATACTGAGCGAGAGCGAGAGCACCCTCTTCTCACAAAGCGAAGGCTACACATCTTACTTCCTATCTATCTCAGCACTACTAACAAACGACGTGACCTCTACTTCGTAGGTATCCATCTTGCTACTATCTACATCTCGAGCCACAAAGTGAGTTCTCAGGGTCCATGAGGATAGGAGAAGGGCGATCGGCAGGCGGCGTGAGGCGATGGCTGATCGATATATGCACTCTACTGTCGTAAAGCGATGATCTCGGTAACTACTTGACGTTCTGTAGAAAGAAGTGAGTCGAGTACAGCTACACAACCACATCGATTTCTACTGAGATTCTTAGAAGTGTCAAATGTGGACACTTCACACCTCGGAGCGTGACAGGAGTATGGAAGTATGTGAATGCATTGGTTCAGATATCATCGCTCTGTGCGGAGCGGTATGCACAGAGTGTACTCGAGACAGGATGACAGAGATCATGTTACAGACTTGACTAACAAGTCTTCATGAGCTACATACGTGTCATGCAACTCGAGTTAAATAGAGTTTATACGCCTGCGAACGTGCGAGAGATCATCGATACCTATAACTCTGACGCAATAGTAGCAACACAAAACCGACTTATTCTGTACTGATAGAAAAGAGCGAAAGTAGCGAGGACAGACGAGAAATCGAAGCTACAGACAAAGAGAACTGATTCTCACTACTGCCTATCATACTTGAGACTACACTCTCATGGACTATGGGTTAATTGAAGGGGTGCTTGTGTCAGCGCAGTGGCATCAAACGATACTCTTAAAGCTCGTACAAGGGTTGTGTGAAGGGGGTAAAGGGGTTTTTGTGGCTAGAGGGGCGTGGACGTCAGCTAGCGGGCATGAGCGTGTTAATAGGAGTGAATGGTACGAATGATACTTGGGACCTGATGATCTTTGGAGTGTGAGCAGAGGTAAGATTTAGTGAAGGGATTCAGGAAACCGTTTATTTTCATATATCGACTTGAGTCCTGGAAATGGGAATTACAATGCCTGCACTTTTAACCCGTTCAGGGTCCAAAGCCCAAATCTGAGTCACGCACCAGTGTCCAAGAATTATGAAAAAAAAAATTGTTATTTTTTCTGCGATGAAATCGTAAGAGAAATCTTTTTGTGAAGGTAATAAAACAAAAAGTACGAAATTTGGTGAAAATTTTGACGAAATTATGCTCTCGCGAATTTTGATGTGTCAGCTATATTAACGAATCGGCGATTTTTCCGACTTTGCTTCCCATTTAGGCTAATTACACTATTCCATTCAACCAAATTCTTAGCTATTCACTAGTATTACTTCTATTCTATCGATTGAGCACAAAAATCGCCAAGTCAACTGTTTCAAACTACAAAATAAAGTGATCGAAATTGTTAATTTGGCCAATTTAACACAAAGTTCAGAATATTCCTATTTTCAAAAAGGGTCCAGAATGAACAATGTGGGCTATTTCCTTGCACTAAACAAACATTTCCTCTGTTCATTAGTTATGTTTTTGTAGGCTTTACAAAT